CAGCATTGGGTTGGGATGTTTTCGTGATGCACACTTTCTTTACATAAAACTCTCTTATACATGAGTTGCTATGGATTTGTTTCTCTAAAGTACCTAGACTAACACATTATTCCTTGAAATGACACCCTTAGTCTTCAACATTTTAAAGAGGTATTGTGCAGCAGACTTGCCCAATGCACTATGTCATTTCATTTCTTGACAGCTGTTTCCATGAGCGCCGACTGTAGGTCCAAGCAAAATGAAACCTGGGCCAGCATCTAGAGAAATTATACAGATATAGGGAGATAGGGTGTAAGGCTCTGACACGAGTCTGCAAACATGATAATGGAAAACACACCAGAATACAGTAGAAGATACTCTTGAATGTACAATAACTTATTTGAAATAATCTTATGATCTTCTAAATTACTGAAATCAAATTATTATCATATTTTATTTCTTATCAGGTCCCATAATCTTTGCTTATTGGCTTCCTGTGTTTTTGCTTTCCATTATTTCTTCTTGCCTTTCGCTACTGGATGGAAGAATCCTTCGGAGAGCAGTTCTAAATTAGTTAGTTAGAGTCAAGCGTACACCTCTGCACAAGGCAGAGCACGTCGTCGACCTGGAGGCTTGTTTCCTCATGTAAGTTATGGAAACTGTTACCTAACTCACAGAACTCTTTGTGAGGATAACACAAGATAATATAAGTGAATGCATTTTATGAACTCTGAAGACCTATTTAGTTTAAAATGTTAAAAAAACAAGATGGAATGTTTATGATTTTCTCTGATGGCATCTGTAGCACTATCCTAATATGTTGCTTTCTATCTTCACCCACTTCCATGGCTAGAATGAGCACAGGGGAGCATGCTCTTTTATGGAAAAATAGATCCGAGCTTAAGAAAATAATGTCTTTTCTCTTTCAGCTATAGACTTCAATATGACGAAAATTCTAAAGAATCCCAGATCATACGTGATGGCCTCACCCACAGAATCAAGGTTTACAAAACCGGCACTGAAGGTTTGGAGAGTATTGATTACTTTTTTAGATGTTCTGACTTGTTTTGATTGCGGTGTAATTAGTTGACTCAGCTTCACGTAGTGATAATTATTGCAGTGTGCATCCATATTTCAGGGGAAATTCAATGTCCAAACGATATTTGTTGGTGGTGTTAATCTTCCTATCAATGTCTTATTTTCTTATGAAAGTAAAATTCTTATTTTAATCTCTGTTTTTAAACCGTCTAGTGTGTATCTTTTCTTCACAATACTTGTGGGCACTGCTTCTCCCTCACCGCGTGTACAGCTCTCAGATGCATCTGCCTGACTGTCTCAGTACACGGGAGAGAGAGCTGCAAGGAAAACTTCCAAGGAATATCAGGAGGGTGGGGTCGGCCCCCTCCCCATAGGCCACATTGAAATATTGCCACACTTGCGTCTTGTCCGTGCAGTGTCTCCCCATTCCGGAAGGGGTCTAGCAAGTAGCAACCTTGTGGATGTGTTACCTCATCTTGCCTCAGCGAAGATGTGGCGAGGTTATTGGCTTGCCATTTTAGATTTGATCTCTGAGCCTGTAGGAAACTTTTGTTGTAAGTCTCTTAGTTTGTATTGTTTAAATTATGTTTGGATAATCGAATTTTGTCTGATCCATTATTTTCTATGGTAAATTATGCTTATAAAACATTTCCTGAAACAGCCAGCGTCCCTGTGCCTCCTGGTCTTTTAATCAGATGGTTATCGTGCCTTAGGATGCCAGCCCTCATGAGGTTGCTGGGGAACGTGTATAAGGGCGTAAGAGAGAAACGTGCGACCTTGAAGATTCAATGTTGCGCCAGTGACTCTCGCAGCCTTTCTTTTCTGGGCAGAATTGATAGATTTTGAAATCTATTTCTGGTCTTCAGCTAACCCTAAAAATAGTTTCTTGTACATTGTTTACAAGTTGGGTAAATATAGACAGATGAATTGGTAGCTGAGAGTAGAAAGAAAATTGAAGCTCCCTCTTTGGTGGCATATCATATTGCTGCACGTTTGGCCCTGCCCGACACAAACTACGCTGTGAACAACTGGAATCTTTAACACGGGGTGGGGGGTGGGGGGAGAGCACCATTTGTATTCGCTACATGGAAATCATAAAGCTCAGAAGTCATGAACATATTGAATGGCCAAAAACTATTGTTAAGCTAGAGTAAAAGCTATCATCTCAGAAACTGAACGTTCGTTACGAGAAAAGTAGAAAGGTCCAGAATTACAATCGTAGAATATAGGATAAGAAAGCTTTGGCCTACAACCAACTTGCCTGTAAAAGATTTGGAACGATTTTTAAATAGCTAGCCCTGTTTGTGCAATAGTAGATAGAACGTGGTTGACCCCATAGCTACTGGCTGTGCTGACCAGATCGCAATTGGTGTGTTCCACCCATTTTGGAGCTCGTCTTTGTGAGAGAGGTGAAGACGAAGACAAATGTTTTGAAATAAAAGTAATCAGGAAGTGGAAAGCTCTAAAAGCATACTGCTTGACTAGTATGGTCAAAAAAAATTTGTAAGTATTTTCATTGCAAAGTATTTGGGAAGCCATAGTAGTACAGAGAGAAAGATTAGCCTTTATCTACAATGTAAGTTTTCTTGATAAATAGAAACTATAGGTAGACAGAGTTCAGCTCAATATAAAGAATGTCCTGAACATCCGAGTGCCCCAAATGTTGAATGAACAACCTGTGGGCTACCTGTCATTGAAAGTCTATGAGGGGAAAAAATTAAAAATTTAGCTTTGTAAGCATTGTCAACCATTACCCTTTAGTAAACCACCGGGGGATGGGGGGAAGGGGCACCGCCACATCCCTCAGACACTGGAGTCGGTCTTTGGGGCTTCACAAGGCTTAGAATGCCTTTGGGGTCTTCGAATTTAGTGCTGAGATTTGCTTCTGACTAAAAAAGTCTTGTTTTATGAAGTCTGAAAAGTTCCCTGGCATTTTTCTGCCACTCTCTTTAATACCTGGTTCTCCTCTTGCCTGGTCAGAAGACCCTTAACATTCAGGGATGCTCCTAAAGGAAACAGGAGCTGCGAACTGTGGCTTCCCTAACGAAATAGCAGATAACTGCATACGTTAGCGGCAATACCAATTTCTAGAGTGTCTATCTTACTAGAATATCCAAGGCAAAAGCAAATTACCACAAACCAACTCTCTAGACAGACAAGATATTATTTTAATCCAGACTAGGCTTGGGCTGGTTTTGCATCCAGTTTAATGATCTAGCCAGATAGAACATGATGAAAATTCTTATCAGATATTAAGATGAGAAAAATTATTGACATCATAGTAAAGTCATGCTATTATTGACATTAAGTTATGATCATCAAAGAATTCCTTTTGGTTATAAGTGTGCCACCATGAGTTGAAATGATGCTACAGATATTAGGGATCCTGAGGTACATCAAATCAAGCACGGAACCATTAACAACAAACAGACAAACAGAACTTTCTATGTCAGTAACTCTTCTTTCGCCCACGGACATGGGAAGTAGAGCTAATAATAAATCTCTCCTCTAATAATTACGAATAATCATTACAAAAATCGAGGAAGGATTTAAAATATGAGTAGTTGCTATACTAGCCTTATCTGCCAGGAGAAGTGAGTACTAGAATTTTGGAGCGATTATATGTGTAGCTGTTTCCTCTACTTTTAAGGGGTTTTCAATCAAGACTTTGAGTAAGTCACACTGCTCTCTTCGAGACTTCCTTGTTCCAATGAGAAGTCAGATATTAGTCTTCTTAATGTTCCTTTGTGTGTGACGAGTTGTGCTTTTTTCTGAATGCTTTTAAGAGTTTCTCTTTGGCTTTGGCTTTGACCATGACCTGTCAAGCTGTGGGTCTCTTGGAACGTATCCCTCTTGAAGTTCACTGATTTTCTTGGGTGCATTTCATAAAATCGGAACATTTTCAGCTGTTCATTCTTCATGTCTCTTGTCTGTCCCTCACCCTCCAACTCTTTTAAGTTTGTTTTACTCCATTCATTTTTCGTTTTGTTTTTTGATGTTTGCTTTGTTTTATTTTTGCCTCTGGTTTTACTGATTTTGTCTGTCTGTCTGTTTTCCCCCTTTGGAGTGGATAACCTATATTGACCTATCGTAAAGTTTCAGATAAGCCAAAAGTCCATGAAATCTTTTTTGCATATTTTAGGAACTTCCTTTAACTAAGAGGCTGTTTTGCAGAATTGCCATTTATTTCATTATATAAAAAATTTGTTATAGTCATAATGCAGTTATGTTTGACTTATAGGTCTTTAAATGTAATCATTGGTCTGATTTCTTTTTCCCTTACAGTCCCATTATATTAGCCCTGGTCCGGAGTTTACCCGGGTTCTGTTCAATTTTGGAGGTCAGAGCCCACTGATTCTATATTATCTTAAGATGCACGAGCTAGCTGGCATCCCCAATGCCTCTAAACAAACAAAGATTAAGCTCACTGAAGTCGTCCGAGAACCATATCCTTTTGTAAGCTTTGCACCAATATTATCTCTTGCTATATTAACTTTTTACTGAATGTCTCAACTAAGAGAAACTTTTGCATACATTCTTTCCAAGGCATTTATTTTAGCATTTGCTTATGTTCATAACCATTTTTCACATGTTTAGTTAAAGTTCTTTAAATTTAAGGCTGTGATATTTTCATGTAATAAAAAAAGCAAATAAAAACCCACAAATTCATAAACCTGGTATATTTGCTCTCTAGTAAATATCTATCTTTACAACTTGACTATGTGGTGCGCATTTTCAGGTATTGTCAGAACTGTAGCCATGGACTTCTAGGCTTCCCCAGAGAGTTTTCAGATATGTGGTTCTCAACCTTCCTAATACCGCGACCCTTTCATACAGTTCCTCATGTTGTGAGGAACCCCCAACCATAACATTACTTTCCGTTGCTACTTCATCACTGTCATCTTGCTACTGTTATGAATTGGGAGACCCCTGTGAAACGGCCGTCCAACTCCCAAAGGGGTCGCAACCCACAGGTTGAGAACCACTGCCTAGTTCAAAAGAAAATGTATCAGAAATCTCTCTATGTAAATAAATGAGTTGTTGCTTCTTTGATTGTAGTTGGGCTAGAAGTTCTACCTAGTATACTCTCATGCTCCCTCAGCTATCCTGGCTCCAGCCTTGCTGGGGGCTTTCATCCCTAAAAATATATATCTAACATCAAACCAAAACCACAAAACCCGCTTCTCTTGAAACAATCCTAACTCAGACAGTGCTCCCAAATTGTACAAGGCTGACTCAGAGTGACCCCCTGTGGCTTTCCAAGACTGTAACTATTTATGGGAGTAGAAAGTCCAGTCTTTCTCCCGAGGAGCTTCCGGTGGTTTTGAACTGCTGACCAAGTGGATCATAATAATCACTACACCACCAGGACTCCACGTGCACAGTCCTAGGCAAAGAAAAATAATGTACGCTCTTTTGATGTCTCTCTTCTATCTTTAAAAATAAGAAATCTGTTCAGCTGTCCCAATATTTAGTGAACAGTATACTCTCGCCCACTGATATTTCCACTTGTACTGTGTATATTGTGATGAAAGATGATGATGTCTTCTTGCTCTTGTTCTATTTTTTGAAGATCACAACACATTGTCGTTTACTTTGGCTGCTGAAAGAGATATACCATCTCGTTTTAGCTAAATGAATGCTCACTGATAGGCCAGGACCTTGAAAATTCTCCTGAAAATAAAGCTGCGAATTGGCGATAATATATATAATGCAACAATAAATGGGAAAAAAAGAGGCAATATGCAAAATACTTCTTGCAGGAGCTCTATTTCAGCCACACGTAGAGATGGTGTGTTTTATTGACTAAGCAAAGGCCTTTCTACTGTGTGGATCATAACAAGCTATAGATAATATTTTGAAAAATGGGAATTCCATCACTTTACACATTCAGAACCTATATTTGGAACAGGAGATAATCATCCTAACAGAACAAGGGAAAAGTGCATGGTTTATAAGGTCATATAATTAATCGGGAAAGGTATATGTCGGGGTTGTATTCTATCATGACATTTATTTACTCTGTATGCTGAGCAATTAATCCCAGACTCTGGACCGTATGAAGATGAGAGCAGCATGGGGCTTGGAGGAAGACTCGGGACAACAGGTGCTAGGCAGGTGGCACAAGATCGCCCGCTAAAAGAAGGGCTTGAAGCACTCAGAGAGTGCAGCTGTCGGTGTTACAACTCAGTGCCAAGGAAACTGGAATTGCACAATTAGCCCAATAGCCAGCATCATGAGAAATGAAGAAAAGATTGAAGTCAAGATTCATTTAACTTGGATCCAGAATCCAGAATCAAAATTCGCGAAAGCAGCAATCCAGAACCCAAACAACGTCATGCTTTGGCAACTCTACTGCACAAGACCTCTGTACAGCGTTGCGGGGGAAATCACAGAGATAGTTTCAGTCACCGCAGAGGTGTGTGAAAGTGGGACACGGAACAAGGAAGACTGGGGATGAACCGATGCCTTTGACGTATGGAGCTGGGGAAGACTATGAGAGTACCGTGGGCTGCCCAAGGAACAAATAGGGCTGTCTTAGAGGAAGTACAGCCAGCATGCTCCTTAAAAGCAACCTGATGAAACTTCACCACACATGCTTTGGATATGTTATTAGAAAACCATGTTTTTTTCCGGGGACTCTTTTTTAATGTCTATTGTTTATCTTTAAGCATAAGAAATAAGTTAAGCTTTACTAATAGTTAATAATTAAATAAGCTCAAATATAGAACAAAATCATATTTAATCACAATGTTAGTTTTAAATCAGAGGCTTGTGTGATAGATGCATTTAAAAATAAATTAAAGATCATAGCTAATATTTTAATTGATGCAGAGTGATCTAATAATAATTTATAACCTATCGAGAGGTCATGAGGGTGGGGGAATAAAAACAAGATACCAAGGGCTCAATAGAAAGTAAACATCTAGAAAATTATGGTGGCAGCATATGTACAAATACGCTTGATACAATTGATGGATGGATTGTTATAAGAGCTGGAAGATCCTCAATAAAATTATATTTTAATTAAAAAAATACTTTTTAAAAGACACAGAGTGGAGGTATGTTGGTTGTCAAAGTTATAAATGGTCTTTGAATCTCTTTTCAAAAACTTGATAACTTGGTTTAAGGGTTATGAGTTGCAGGGTAGGGAATTATTTAATATGTTTCTACTAGCCATACCTTTGTTACGTCCACCAAATGGCCCTCATTTTTTTTTTTATGAATCTGGCTAATAAAGAGGTGGAAAATATTGATTGCATTGTACGATTTTGCTGTGAGTGAGTGTTAACGGAGCCAGGAGTGGAGCACATCCTTTGGACCTCAAGATCCCTGCACATCACACTTCCTTGATCCAGGAGACAGCTGTGGCACGAGAAGAGTGACAACGGAGCAGCAACAGCACAAGGAGGAGTGAGAGCATGAGGCAAAGCAGTGAACGTCTTAGCCTACCAAAGAAGTGAAGCTGGATGCTTTGGGGCAGGAAACTGGCTTGTAGAGTAGGGTGTGCCTGGGAACTTAATGGGAGTAACTGGGTTTGCCAACCCGCAGAGTCGAAGCTGAATGTTTTCAGTCTGAGATTTATGGTGGAGTGACAAGCCCTTTGGGCATTTATTGGCAACTCTGAAAGAACTTTGTAGCATTGCCCAAGCATGGTAGAGGCCACGCCAAAAGCTTGAGGGCCAAAGAGAAGCCTGCTTGTGAGTATGACAGAGAAGAAACCGTCCGACACTGAATACAACTATATCCTGAGTGAGCATTTCTCCCGTGAATGATAACCTGTGGACATCCTTAATAAGCTCAGAGTCTTGAATACCCTCCGTGAGCTCTGTGTGGCCAATCAGTGAATCATCACATCCAGTCACAGAAGTAGAGTGTCATGGGAGGAGCAGTCGGTATCAGCATAAGGTCAAAGGGATGAAGGGCAGAGGCATGTCTGACCTCTACCTTGTGACAAACAGCCTTGGGATTCGCAAGAGGTCAAGCGGGGTCCCCATGCTTTTCTTCATAAGAGAAGCAGGGGAAAGTGCTGATTCCTAAGTAACGCTGACTGTGTAGTGCGTCTCTGTCCAGACTCGTGTGCAAGATGCATTTAGGACTCCTGATTTTCCCTCCACCTGTTGTCTGCACTTTTGTAAACTACTTCAAGTCCTTTATGGGTTGGGTGTAATCTAACAAAAAAATACCCCAAAGACTAGTGATATTTCACAAGTGGCACAGAAATTATTAAAGACTAGCAACAACACATGAGTACAGTGTGTGGGGCCCCAGTTGAAAGAAAGCTCTATATGCTGAATCTCTGTTTTTCGTGTGAATGTAGCCTTTTCACATTTTGTGGCAGTTTAGAAATATCTGGACTCAACGGAGTGTCATAATGAGAGCATGATGTCGGTCTAAACACAGGCTTCCACAAGCACAGCAGCATATACAGACTTTTTTTTCATGTCGAAACTATCCAGGGAAGGGCTATTTAAATGCTGTAATTGAGAATAATGTGGGCTATATCAACATTCGCCCAGCGTACAAAAATAAAAGCTATGCAAAAATAAAAGCTGGTGTGAATTATCTGTGATGTGGGAGAAGCAAACAGCTAACAGTGAGACAGACAGAGCAGGCGGGAGCCCTGAGTCCCGGGGAAGGTCACCGGTCGGTGCAGCTCGCCGTCTTCGCACCGTGACGGTCCACTGGGAAACTTGAGCACCAGATGCAACTTATTTGCACATTATTAAAATACAGGTGTCCAATAAGCTCAGTCACACAGGCCCATGTAGACATTTTTTTCTAATAGCCCAGGTGTGACGAGTAACGTGGAGGTTGTTACCAAAGTTACTGTCAGTTGGAGTATTCATTTCAATTCAATGACTAGTTAATTAAGATGAAGTACAATGTAAAGCACATTTTATAAGTACGAATTAGCTGAAAGGCGAATGCCTGGAAACCACTTCGAATTCAGAAAGCACCTTCTAGTTATTTTTTCCAGGAAAGCATCAAGACCAATAATAGCTCCCTGCCATTGAGTCAACTGTGATTCAGCGAGCGACCCTCCAGGACTGAGTCAGCACTGTGCCACCAGGCCGCCAGGAAAGCAGTGAAGAGGCGAGCACATGCTTTCCTCCTTCGATCCTTCTGTAATGCTCCGGGTAGCATGAGCTGGAAAGCTCTCACCGATAGAAAGAAAGGTCGCTTCATACTGTGTGAGTTTGAAAAAAGGCATGTGACCTCCGCATTCCTTTAACTTTAAAACTTAGGGTGTGGGCACCATCATATTATCTGTTAATGAGGCCTTTCAGATAATGGAAACCAGATCTTAGCTTGCTGGGACACGAGGGCTTTTAAAATAGAGTTTGCTTCAAACACACAATCCGGGGAACTGTGGCCTTACAGAGGTGCGCCTCCCTCCACCAAACCATGATGGGGGTTACTCTTTCCCTGCAAACAAGGGCCC